CGGTACAAGCTCCCAGCCCCGTTGATGCACCTCTCCGCTCTCGCGAATCCATTATTCGCAACAGACGAGCGCCAAATTTACTTTCGCGTTGTGTTCTGATAACAATGATCTCTGTACAGTGTTCCAAAAAATTGGCGAGAATTAGCCATAACCCGGTTCAGCCATAACATTGTTAAATAACTCGACAAATAATTGGCGCACAGTTTTCTTGAATATTATAAATTCACAAAAAATATTATTAGACATGCGAAGGATTATCTTGATCGGATATTTTTCACTTACGTGTGTTAAATAATTTGAATATGTTCCGAGTGTTCATGTAAAATATATTATAATAAATCTAATAAATATAATAAATAACATAATTTATTATTTAACATATTTTCTTATTTAAAGTAAATTTATAATTAAAATTAATTTATAATTAAAATTATAAATTTACAAAATATAACAAAATTATGTTATTTATTATATTCATTATATTTATTATATTTTACATGAACACTCGGAACATATTCAAATTATTATTATTTAACACTAGTCAAATTCAACAAATATTACGAATTTAATCAACTTGAATTTTCACAATCTTTCTATGTTAAATTATATGTAACATTTTATTTAGATATTGCAATGAAAATGAGCAATAAAACGCTTTCGTGTAGTGCTCCTTAAGCGCAAATAAGTTCTAGATTGATCGAGCTCATTGCTAGAATCCCTTCGAAGCGGCAAGCAATATGGAAACTTTGCTTTCGCCTTGCGTCTCACTAAGGTGGTAAAGTTCTTGGAAAATGTTACGGTAAGACAAATTTTTATCTCTCTTGGAAAGTTGTGTCATAAGCAGCCGATATTCATTCGTAGAATTCCTATTAAAAGGTGTTCTGCAAGCAAAAGTTAATATTTTTATCTGTGGGATTTCACGGTGAGCGCGTAATTCACTAAATTAATTTTCGATTTATCCAATAATGAAATATTGCCAAGCTGCTGCCAATTTACTAACAAATAATGAGCCTATTATTATGACTGGATTTTACTTAAGCTAATTAGCAGAAAAATATTAAAGATTAATGTCGATCAAGATAAATTTAGCAAGTTAGTAAAAAAGACTAGTGAAAAGCTTAAACATTAAGAATGACCTCAGCCAATCTTTATAAAATGCTTTTAAAAGAACATCCCCTATGTCACGTAAATATGATCATTTTTACTTTCACATTTTTTTAAGACGTTCGCGTCGGAGAAAACAATGTACTATTGTCTTTCAGGAAAAGAGAGCGCTTTAATACCAACTAATTAACGAAATACTATGTATTCAGAATCCCTGTAACGGTGCGATCTTTTTTAAAGTACGCTTGTGTGACGTCGCTACATGGAAGAGCTTTTTTCATTGCTTGCACGTCGACATTGCACGAAAATTAATTATTAGCTGCTGGCAGCTTTGAAAAATTTTCTTAGCGTCAACTACACTTTAAGTACGCGGTATCAAAAGGTTACAGGTTACAAAGGATAATTAGTGAACTTCGAGTGAGTTAACAGATCATTGTAATTGGATCTCCAGCGTCTCTCGCGCGTTACTTGAATCACCTTAACTATTCGTTCGTAATAACGAATTTCCTTTATCAGATAGTAGGAGTCGGTCCTGTAGAAATTATATTTGATTTATGTCAAACATTAAAAGATATTTTAATTAATGCAAGTTAATTAATGCAGAATTTTAATTATTAATTGTGAAATTAATTTACTTTCTAATAACATTTATTTATCGGTATTATAATTGCTACCTAGAAATAAATAAATAATCTTTAAAAAAGATACTTTAAGTTTTCATGGATAAATTGTTCTCATATCCATTCTAAATACAATAGATTAATTATATTATTATATTTTATTATTATATGTAAAACGCTACGAATTAATTCCAACACCTAATATTTATGCTATTATTATTATATTATTACTTTATAATGATATAAATTATTATATTAGGTGTTGGAATTAATTCGTAGCGTTTTTAATGAAAGAATGTTATTTATTTCACATGAGCATTAAAAAATACATTAATGAAAGTACTTCCCATCACTTGTAAAACGCTACGAATTAATTCCAACACCTAATAATAAGATTAAAATAAAAATAATATGCTTTTCATTTCATTACACATTAGTTTTGAGAGATTTCGAACATGAGATTCGAATTTTTAGATGATGATTTAACAAATTTAGTGGTGCCTTAAATTATATAAAAGTTATTATTGAGGATTTTCGAGCGAAAATAAAATTTTCGCGAATCGACATTGTAAATCCGTGAAATTTATACCGCAACGAAATTATACCGCACTCATGAACACAGTCATAAATTTGGTTTTTGAATTTGGAAAATGTGAATCTCGTGTTTGAAATGCATGCAGCTTATTCGGAAATGAATGAAAGCATTTTGACGAAGTTACATGCGCTTCATCCACACGTCTACAAATAATTACGTCAAAGAGGCATAATTATGTCGAAGGGAACCAATCTTCCCTTCTATTCTCCGAGCTCATATACTGGCGGCGTCACGTCCCCGCTGTTCGTAACGCGGAACACGACGCGGTAGAAACGAGAAACGTAAGCTACTGAAAAGGGATAATGACGTATACCGCTCTAATTAACGTCAGCTTCAATCTCTTAACTTCAGTCGCAAACCACGTGATGACTCATTAACGTTATCTACTTATTCAGGTTTTTTTTACACTGTACATATCAACAGACACATATGTAAAAAAGTTTTAGCATAAAAGCTTTGAATGGGTAATAAAGTATATAAAACAAAACTGGAGTGTGAAAGATAATATTCTTACATTAATTTTTATAATTGCAACTAATACGGAAATTAAGTTCTTAATTACTATATATATACAACTATAAATTGTCTTTTTGTTAAAAATTACAAATTGCATATATTTCTGATATTTGAAATAAATGAACTATTGCAGATATAACTTTGATTGAGTTATGTTCTACTTCGGATCTGACACGTAATTGAGGAATTTAAGTAAATAATTTTTGAATATGATTTTTTATTGATTATAAAAATAGATTACTATTTCGTTTTAACTTTATGCTTTTTAATTTTAGAAGAGAAAATTCAGAAATCTATATAACAGCATTATCAATTTTTTATTTTTATTATGTATCTAAAGAATACATTATTTTTATGTATTTATACTTCTTTTTTTAAATATAATTATGATATCAAATAAATACGATTATAATGCTTGATATATCTAGGAACTTCTTTCATTACGTTGCTGCTAGAATCTCCATTACAAAGAATAGTAAATCTTGGGCGGACAATAGACCGTCTATTCTTGTGCATTTTCTTCAGTCCTTTTATTCCAGCAACAAAGGGATTGCAAGTAGTTATTGCATTCAAATTGCACTAGGTAGGGAAACTCTTGATGCCGATCTCACTGGTGGCGTCTTTTTACTTTCTAAATATAAACTGATAAGGTAAAAGACACGACAGATATTAGAATCTATTCGCTATTACATGAAATTGATCGACAATGTCTTTACGTTTTTCTTCCTTCATTCTTCATACTTTTTCCTCATTTTTTGACTTAATATATCAGCTTTGCTTTCTTGTTATCGAGAAAACTACTGTCATTTCGACAAGAAGTATAAGGTAATTAACGAGTTGGCATTAATCTTCGTTTCGATGACTCTGTATTTATCTCATTTATCTCGGTTCTTTCTATTTCCGACATTCTTTCTGTTACCCGTCACTCTCGATAACGAAATAAATTTTGAAATGTTTTTGGAGTTGAACTCAATTTAATTCTTGTACACATAGAGTTTCCAAAAATTAATAATGTACTCAGCGTTCTACATTAGGTAGGTTTACTTTATGTATAAAGTCTTTAGTGGTCAGTGTTAACGCGAACTTAGCTACCGCAAGTTAGAATCTGCTAATATTTACGTAGTGGTATAGGCTGATCACGTACGAGAATACACTACTTGACCCGTAGGCCACAGTAGTTTGCTTTGCTGTTGACTTCGGTTGAGCGTACTGCATGCTCAGCCGTATCTACTTCATCGTCAATGAAGGATCTGTACGCAAGTAGTATGCCGCTTTATATGTTAGACAAGCCAGGTGTGCCACTCAGCGATGACTACCCGCCGTTTTTGAGAGAAGTTTCTCTCTTAAATACTCTTCGTCCTTAACTACTTCGCTACTTTACTCTATGTCTGTGCAAAATTTAGGAGTACATGCAGCAGTGTTCGAGCAGTTATAGCTTTACATAACCAGTATAGGATGAGTACATCCATATATTATGAATTTAATAAAATTTCTAGTCTGTCTTTTCTAATGAGACTCGTGTTGGAATTATAATAGAGTATGAATTATCCAATATTTAAATAGATAGTTTAATTAACATAAACATGATAAGGTGAAAAATATATTAGAACATTACTGTGAGTCAATACGAAAAATTCAGCGAATTTAATTAAATTTTCATGGAGAAGAGATAACGATTACACACCATACACATATACTAAAGTAACTTTAGAATTACATTAACACTTTTTGTTGCAGCGAAGGAGAATGTAAGGTATTGTGGCTGAAAGGATGCAGGAAGAAGACGAATATAACGGATTTCCGTTTTCAAAGGAAAATGAGCATTCTCAGTTACTTATGTATACATATACATATATATATATATATATATATGCATGTATAGAGTTTTACATATATAACACGCGCATATAAACTGCATAAGGCGCATATAAACGCCTTCTGCTTTTATCTCTCGGTATGTTTGCTACAAAGGCTGACTCGAGCGCTAAGTGAAGAACATTATCACTTGAATGCTGTGAGAGTTTGCGTTTGCACGTTATAAGTTATAATAGTGTTAATGAAATTTCTATTAGTCGCTTAAAATTGAAATTGAATTTTGGAACTTTTATATTATATTTGAGATAAATATATCTTCAATCAAATAAAAATCCTTGGCCTGTCTATAAGCTAAGTCATCATAGACAATTAAGGATTTTTTGTTAAAAAAAAATAGAAAAAAAATTGTAATTCTTTGGATGCATTCGGGGAAACGCTATTAGCACTATTTGTGTCATTCTATCTTCATCATTCATTAGATATGCAACAAGGCTAGAATGATACAAATAGTGTCTCCCCGAATGCATCCTTGGACATAGATATACTTGGAAACAAGGTGCACACGTCTCGCTATAGATCTAAAAATCATGTGCTAATTTTTATCTGATTTTTTTTTCGTTCGATCACATGATAACTGTGAATCGTGTGGTTTCCACCAGCTGTTATACATCTTCAGAGGAACCGAAGGATGTTGGGTTAGTGTCGGTACCCAACGAGCTCTTGGTAATGCAGAAAGCGTGTCACTGCAACAAATCCGTACTCACGGCATTACGTGTCCCGAGTAAGTGCAACGGAGTGGTGCTTTCAAAGTGCTCGGGACTCCTTTAAGTTACCTGAACGATAAAGTTCTTTAGAAGTCACCATCAGCATCTTCGTCCCTACCATCATACCAGAAAGTATTCCCAAATTTCGAAAATTCCGATATCAAAGAAGTTACGGATAGTCCGACGACGACTGTATGCTTTCGCGTTTGCGTATGATCAAATATTTGTGCAATTTAATGTTTGTATAGCATAAATATTATCCTTAATTAGTAAGTTAAATTTTAGCATTAATATATAAAAATACAAACAATCTCATATTTTAATTAAAAAGAATCTTGCCATTCTTTTGATGGCATTGAAATTTTGCTATGCATCACCTTTTGTGATGCGGCGACCCTATTTGGAATTATCTTCTTTTGTTTTGTAAATTGCTCGCTCGATTTTCATAAAACTTGATCTACGAGATAATTTGGTGATTTAATTTTTTAATTTTAAGATTGTAAAGCTAGAAAGAATTCAATCAAACATTAAATTTTAAAATTAAAAATTATATTGATATTAATTTTGAATAGCATGCGCGTAAATTACAATTTATATGAACTTTATATGTATTAATTGTATAAATAATAATTATGTAATTACGATACGTATTTCCGTTGCCAATGTAACGTATCGCTGATTACCATAACAGAGAAGATTTTCGCTTACTCATCGTTTGTACATATGTGTGTATTTAGATGGGATCGAACGTCATTTTGATGGGATCAATCGTCATCCCGAAGGGATTAAGCGCTACTGTGTAAGCCCGCGTTTCCATGTTGGATTAAATTTATACGTTAGGCAAATATGAAGCAATTATTATGAAATAAATTGCTATTGTTTCGAGCATGAAAAAGAGAACAATAAATATGCTTCAAATAAATTTTTAATAAATAAGCATTAGATATGATATAATTATATACAAATTATATTGATCTCATATCTCACGTATAAATGGATAAAGTTTCATTATTGAAGAATCAGTAATTTATTTTTCTCTTTGTCATTTTTTTAATTATTATACCTAAAGAAGGGAATCAATAATATTAATATTCATATAATATTAATATGGTTAAGAATTTGAGATTTTAAACGTCTCTCTCTGAATTCATAATATATATAGATATGTGTAATATTAAATTTTAGATTAAAAATTCTATTAAACTTTCTTCTCGAGGAATTAAATGATAAATATTACTTTATGTCGCTAAAACTTAATATAGGAAAATTTTTTATTTCTTCCAACTCATATGATTGAACTACCAATGTTTTTCAAAACGAAAAATTATTAAGATAAAAAAATAAGTTTAGTATTTTGCACATTTCATGCTCACTGTCATAAGCAACATTTTGAAGTGTTTCACTTCCTTTGGGAAAGGAAAATGCGCATAATTTCCACGAAAAACTGGTAGAGATATCGAGCCGACTTTGCGAAGTCCCCGAAATTGCAAGATTCTATCTTGACAAGAATGTATCTCGCGTCGGCAATAGAGAAACGGTTTAAGTCGCACCTTCGTTTTCTCTGCGAGGATCTTGAACGAGGAAGGTACAAGAAGAAGTAGCCGTAGGATACTCTTAACGGGGGAGGGGAGGGGAGAGAGGGAAACAGTAAATTGCTTGGAAACTACTGTACTATTTACGGACAGCGTTTCTTCCTATGGACGACGTGGTCGATTTCGAAGCTCGGCGTTACACAGGATCGAAATCGTAAATTTCAAGAAATTGAAAGACTTATACATCATGATCTTTGAACGCAAGAAATATTTTTATTGTGAATGGTACATGTTGGACAATTTTTCTTTAAAAGTTTCGAACAACCAGATGTCCCTATCGACAATCTGCATCTAGAATTCCTCGATGGAATCAGAAAACTGTTTTACCTTACGCAAATCGACCAAAACATAATCCTATTAGCGACTTATACGTTTGGCATACATCCCTTGAAGTCGAAGATTTAATAAACAATTTAGAGTTTTTTGAATTTGAACGTAACTAGTACTGGGAAGTTAATTTCTTTTTTCTTTGTAAAATAGTGCAAAATTTGTATACTAGCAGTTTACATTACATATCGTTATTAATAATAGACATTTTTTTTCGTTAATGATGCAATTAAATTTAATTAAATTTAATTCCTTCGGTCTTTCATCCAATTTGCAATGATCAATGTCGCATAATATTGAATGTTAACATTATCCGCATATTGTTTGATGAAAATTAACCAATTCATTCATGATATCAGATTTGGTTAATTCTGTTCCCCCTTTCCGCACCTCTTATTATAGCTTGAAATATATATTGCATATATTGTAATCATTTATAGTAAATTTAATATTCATAATATTTTCCTGACTTTGATATTTTATGCGTAATGTTGTCAGAATGTAATTAATACATCTCTTTCAACAAAAATATCAATTAAACGAACAAAAGACATACATATCAAAAGATTATAAAAATCGTTTTTAGATAACATATTATCTTTAATTAGAATTTAATTTGCTACAAGATAATTACACGTTATAGGCATATATTCTTCATACTGTGCCGAAATTGATTAACTAATTTCTATTTTTTACAAAAAAATTTACAACTAAGTACATATCATTCTTTTTTCAATTTCGACAACATCAACGAGAACATCTTCTTACCAGAAATGTCGAACATGCTTGTGTCACGACGTTTATTTAGCGAAGTGCACCTTCTCTTTAGTGCTCACCTCTCCCTAGAGTCCTCTTTATCCTTGCTTGCGATGGTAGCACCATCGTATCTGATATAGTCGTATCCACTTTTACCTTATAAAAGTATATACTAGATCGATATCGTCCGTCGTCGATGGAACATCGTTGTCCTGCAATAGCCATTTCAGTTCCATCGGGATGTCCCGAAGCAGCGTCGCTGTCGTGCTTTGACTCTCGTCAGATAATACCACTCAAAAATGTATGCGAGGGTATATAGTGCTTTAGAAAAAGAGAAGAGTGTGTGAAGTCAACTTCATTGTAATATACCTCGTCAATATTATCATGCTGTATTACATATACATAGCACGTTTACACAGGAACTAATTTCAAGTAGACTTTAATAGAATATTAATCTGAAGCTCTCATTTGAATACTTATTGGCACATGCATATGTGAAAACGTTTTCACAGACGCATCATTTAATTAAATTACATATTTGAAGATATATATTTGAGAAATAATACGGATGAGAGAAGATAATATAACGTAAATTAATGTCTGATATAGAAATATCTGTAATTATATTAGTGTCATTACACTGCCATTAATTTAAGTTAATCTTGTCCAAGTTAATCTATTTTATATAACGCGGATCTCTGTAATTATTTTATGTTCCTTCGTATTTAAAACGACTCTACTCTTTTCTGATTTTCTTTCATTTATTCGCAATTTCACTCGACTTTCTCAAATGCTTTCTTTTAAGTGATGGCTAATAATTTCGCGCAAATTCTTCTAGAGAGTATGTCTAATAGAAAGAGAGAGAGAGAAAGAGAGAGAGAGAGAGAGGGAGAAAGAGGAAAAATAAAATTTTATTTCTTTTATTTGTAAAGCTCGATAGCTATTTTCTCCTTCAGAACGAGATGTATTTGTAAAAAAAGTCTCTATGCGAATACAATATAAAATATTTTTACTAAATGTACATTAAAATTTAGTATACATAATTCTCGTGGAAATTTATATTGAAATTTCTATATTTTCAGATTTATAGAATAAATGTGTCCTGCAGAAAGTAAAGTTAATTTACATCAAAAATTTATATTAAATAATGTTAAACAATTTCAATGCATGTGTTAATTGTCTAACATCGTGATATTTTATAATTTAATTTCGACGAACTTTATTTCCATGAACACTTTTCGGTATGTTGGTATGCTTGTGGAAACGCGATATTTCAGAATCTAATTCTGACGAGCTTTATTTCCGTGAATAATTTCCGGCATTTCGGTATGCTTGCAGGAAATGCGAGAGTAGTCAAGTTTTCGTCAAGGACCACCACACACACTGTATAGATACTTGCCGTCCTGTTACTATGTGCGGTGAAGTACGCGTCCCGGAAGACCATCTTGACGTAAGTAATTACCCGATAAGTTCCCTAAGCCGAGTTAAACCGTGCAATAAATATCGGAGCCAGTCAAAGGAGTAGTTGGGCATTGGCATAGGTATTTTGGGCATTGGGGAATCACGTGGAATTTATGAATTATTTGTTTATTTACGATAAAATAATCAAAAATTCATGATTATATATTTTAGTAAAAATTCTGTTTTATAAATTAATTTCAAATAATATTCATTTTAATATAGAATTTTATATTCCATGTTGAAAATTAGAACAGACAATAATGTCCATTTAAATTCTTATTAAAGAATAATCGATTGAAAATCTGTGCCAATGAAGCTACAATATAATTTATGGAAGAAAGATACAAATATGCTTTTTAGGATATTTTGCATTTTATGTGCTCTGTCTACTATACACTTTGTAACTTTGTTATAACTTTGTAACCATTAAGTTTAGAAAAATATTCTATCTATTTAAATTATTGTATTATGCGCAAAAAAGTTAATTATATTGAAAGTATATGTTATCTAAAATTTTCAATTGTACTTTGATGTTGAATTTTTAAAATAGAATTTGAGATCTGCATAGTAAATTTTGATTTATTTTTCATAATTTGCATTAAGTAGATAATTTTTGTGATTATCTATCTAATATAAATACTAGATGTATAAAAAAAGATGTACAAAAGATGTACAAAAAAGAATTTATATTTAACGTTAATGATAAAGAAGGAGTAATAATTCAATTAAAGATTGAATTTAAATTTAATTAATTTAATTAAATAATAACGAAATATCAAAATTAGACTAATGCGATTAAAACTTGACATATATTAAAGAATTAAACATTTTTATTATTTATTATTAAGTATATACATATACAGTATATTTTCAACGTCAGATCCTTCTTCAATCCAATATTTTTAATAACTAATATTTTTAATAACATTAAAATTTGTTATAATTATATTCAAGATGACTCGATTTACTAAATCTGATTTACTAAATATTAAGAATCAAAAAATATACCTTTAAAAAATTAAAGAGTAAATTATTAAAATATTATAATGACATTACAACGATATATACAGATTACGTTAGTAATTATAATTACTGTAATTGAATCTATTCATTTATAATTACCCGCAAATATTAATTACAAACTTTTTTTATGTAAGATGATGGATTATATTCTTCACGGAGATCTCTATATATAGTGTATATATATTTTCAAGTAGATCACATATATTCGAAATGAGAGATACGATATTTTATTGACACTTCATCTTGATCGATTACTGAGACTCGTACTGAGGAGATATTTTAACGACAGCATCTTGAAAATGAGAGGCGCTAATTGATGAGTGGCCCTGAGAGGCGAATTGGTGTCGGATAACTTATTAGAGCGTCATCACCCTTGTTGTTGACGATATTTGCTGACGGCGTAAAATTATTTACCTCCTCGAAAGTATCTTGACGGTAATGCGATTCCGCTCCGGTTCGTCAGCGTTAATGTTTTCGGATATTTCGTCGCTTATAGAATGCAATCTTCTTTAGAATATTTTGTGTGTCTGACACTCATTACGATGAGCAATGTTACTTATAATTTCATTTTATGTCAATGTAAAATTCTTCAAAAGATATAAGATTTTTTTCATTTTTGATTAATAATTATTTTTTCCAAATTGAAAATTATTTAATTTCTTTAAAGTAACAACAATACTTTCTCTATTTACTGTACATCTTTTTATGTTTTCCTCAAATGTGCATATTTATAGGTTTGCAGAACGTGTAATGCGACGGGACATAATTGTGGAATAGCTAAAGGAAGTAAAGCTGGTCCGGGAATCGATGGTGCCGATTTTGTCTTTTATGTATCCGCCATGCAAACTGAAAGATGTCACAAGGGCTTAACAGTAGCCTATGCTGCTCATTGTCAACAGGAAGCAGCCTTGGATCGGTAAATTCAAATTTAATTAGTCGATGAAAACAATCTTTAACAACTTTATAAACTGTATAAATTTAACTAGTGTTATAATATTTTTAATAAAAGTTTTGCACACTATTATCATTAACATTGTCGTTAATAATAAAATAAAAAGTATTATTGAGTTAGTAGTAACGTGAATTTAGTTTTAGATATTTTGATATTTGAGAACGTCATTAATAATGCATTAATACATTGAACAAGTGCGCGTTATGATTGAAACATGCGCAATTTTAGCTATTTGTATAAACGGAAGGGTAGAGACGAAGGCAAACACCATCTGGCATGAATATATTTCATGAGAACGTCGGATTAAATATTTGACAAGATTTATAAGAGAGATTGTTTGTACGAAGCGAGCGATTTAACAATGGCGGATTCTCATATTAATAATTTTAATTAAAACGATATTTTATTTTGTTTATACACGATGAATTATTTCTAAGCATCAAACGTCTTGTTTATTTAAATTTATCTTTATTTTAAATTGTTCTACTTTATTTTTATATACATAATTGTATTAAAATAATATTGTACGTAATAATAAGATATAATGTACTCTCTAAATTCTTTAGAATGGAATCTCACTCTGAAGAGTGAAATTCAAGGTGAAACCTTTTAAAGATTGAAAATTCTGCCACTCTTTTTCAAGAGTAGCAGAATTTTTACTCTTTAGAGTGAGATTCCACTCCAAAGAATTTAAAAAGTAAAGAATAAATAATTAATTTATCTTGATTAAATCTTAATTACCATAATTATAGATTATTCATATTGTTACGAGTCGTTCGAAATCGAAGAAATATTTTCCAGGACCGAATTTATAATCGAAAATTGTAGAAGCAAAACTCGACGTTCTCTGATTTGACGTCTAACTTTGACTCTACCGAAACGTGCACGCATATTGAGTAGATTAAATTTGTCTGTCAAGTACATACGTCGCGCACGTCGTACCACGGTCGATGTAAATGGCGTTGCGCGAATTTTATTATTCGCACGACGTCTGATCGTGATAGATCGACGATATTCGTGCGTCGCGTTACCGCTTGCTTATGGAAAAATCCTTAAAATATTCGAGCGTGAAAAAATATTTTACGTAACATACAGCATTACGCAGCTTTAATATTAATTTAAATATTCTTTGCGAAAATTCTGCATTTATGTCTATGCAAATTTATTCTCTCATTAATCATATATTTATCTTGCAAACATCTTAATGAAATTCTTGTATTTTCCAAGAAAATAATAATAGAAAAACTGATACGCCACATTACAATTTCAAGACTCTATAATTAAAATAAAAACGAAAGAAAATTTCGCGGTTGCTGAAGCGAACTAAATTGCTTTTAGGCCGATAGCTGGTCATGCCAATCTATGCCCGGGAAGCATCAGCACGAAACCACAGGAGTTGGAAACGTTGCTCAGCACCGTTAAACACGAGATCCTGCACGCTTTAGGATTTTCTGTGAGCTTATACGCTTTCTATAGAGACGAGAATGGTGAGCCCAGGACGCCTAGAAGAAGCGATACTGGAAAACCACCCCTTAATGAAAAGTACGTTCTGCCCTTTGTACATCTTACGTTAAGATTCCTTTATTACTAAGCATGAAAGATGCGCAAATTATATTAGTTCGTTCATTGAGTATGAAATTAAATTAGGTCGAATAATTTCTCGAATACTAAGATATATTGTCAATTAAATTTTATTGCAAATACGGACATTATTAAAAAATGTTTAATATTCTTAGAATATTATGTCACACTCTTTACAATCGAATTTTTTGTGGACTGATGATCTCGTTTGAGGTCATCCCTTTTTATTTTATAAATTGCTCTCTCAATTTTTATAAAAATTTTTATAAACTTCTTCTAATCTGAATGCTTTTTCATATTCAATGTAAAAAAAAAACATTCAAAATAGTGGCTTCAATATAGCGAATAGAATTTTTTTAAAATGATTTTATTATCATAAAAACTCGGTTTTAGAGAGTTTTTAATTGAAAAATATAATATCAAGTTTCCAGTTTTGCTATATTTGAAGCTGAGTAGATAATTAGTTAGCACACCGATTTCCAAATCGACTTTCAAATTCTGAATCTTGTGAAATTGGATTTTCCTTTAGACAAATTATTATCCTTTTGAAATTCAATATTTTAGATTACATTCAAACTCAGAAATGCTAAAAATCTTCTGAAACTCAAGTTTCACGATAATCAGATTAGGTTCTTGAAATTTGAATTTTAGAATTCTGAGACTAGAATCGATAATCAGAGACTCGAATTCAGCGACATTGAAAGTTTTTAGAAATCAATAAATTTTTCTTAAGTTATTTTGTTAGAAAATTCTGGGTCTTCAAAGGGTTAAATAACATAAATTTACACTACATAAATTTCTACTAATGAACAAAGCTTAGCACAAAGTTAACATTAACGATTTCTCAAACTGAAACTACAATGCTATACAAATAATATTTAAGCATAAAAAAATAATATTGTTATTGATCAAACTGTTGAAATATGTATTTCGCGAGACACTTTTTATTTATCAGTACAATTTTCAATCAATTGATTAAAATGCAACGAATTTATCTGTTTGATAAATAAATATTTATTACATTCTACTTTTTAAAAATAAGTAAATGCTCTTTTTTCATAAATTTTTACACTCAATTGTGCTGAAGATATTACTTTACTTTCGTATAATGAGAAAGAGAAAAAAAACATAGATACTTTGATTTGTTCGTCATCTCATCACTCGACTACGATGCGTTAGCCATTTTTCTCTTTCCTGCTCCTGCAATTGTCTGACGATGTATCTGCCTTTAAAATTGGAAAATTCCTGTTCTATACGAGTCGACGGACCGTAACGAACTGGCTTCCGGCGTTGGCAGATGCGAGCTCTTCCCTATACGATCTTTCTTCACGTACCCTTCTATCTTTCCCCGTCTTCCATCCGTTACTTTTCCGCTACTATCGTACTATCGTACTTACTTCTCATGTTCTCTTCTAAACTCTCTTTCCCATTTCGCTATCCTGCTCGGTCTGTCCGCCAAGTGGCAAAAATCGACGACTTTCTACTCCGAATCGTGAAATTCCAGCAACAGATCCATGGCATTCCAGACTATAATAGATTTTAGGAATGACTTTGGCGTTCTTCACAAGTCCTTTCCTAACGCTCGCTCTGACGTATAATTTTCCAGTATGTTCTCAGAGCGTTTCTCCAAGTGTGTCTGGTTTCTTCAACTGATCTTATGAATTATCGCGTTGATTTGCGTTTCGAATGTTGGCGCAGATAGAACTTCCTCTCTCTTTTCCCCTAATATCACATCGCTCATCGCATTGCATAGCATTACAGAATTATGAAGCCACTTGGTGATGTATGCAGAACTTCTTAAACTCTCAGGAACTTTCTGCCAGAGAGTTCTATGATTCTTTCCCCACGACGTCCCAATACTTAAATTGAGGGACAGAGATTTTTCTGAAATAGCTGCTCGTTCCCGGTTCGTCACAGACCTTCATCTTTTTTAATTTTTTTTTCTCTCCTCTTCTATCTCCTGTAATTTTATCAGTCCTTTTACTCCTCGTCGTCTTTTGCTACTTCTCTAAACTGTTCTTTTCGTCCATTTTCGCTCCGTGTCAAAGACTATATATTCTCCATTACAAATTCCAACGTTTCTCTGCATCTCCTGTTATCTATCCATTCGTGAGTTTGCACGTTCTCAGCCTACTGCACCTGAATATCTCCACGGAGATCCTCTTACGTTTAAGGTTTACGTTAATCTACAGCAAGGTATATATGCCATGCAGAAAGGTAAAGGAGAGAGAGAGAGAGAGAGAGAGGGGGGGGGGAGGGATCCTTGTTAATGTTAGATTTGTGGAATAGATGTTATAACACGATACGATGACATCAGATATGATAGTATGTGGAACGATAGAGGTATATTTATTTTTATCTACAGAAGAAATATTATAATTTATCATCATTAGTCCTGCTAACAGTTGTTGATTTTAATGAAATATTGCGATACTATTCTTATTTAGCAATTTTTGTTTAGCAATTAATTTCACTAATAATACCTATTGCTTTCATTAATAATGCTTGTTGAGCTTTTAATGCTAATTATAATTACACATTTTTATTGGTTTTTACTCATTTTCTAATTAACTATTTTATATAAATGCAAATTGTTCGCATTATTCAAACAATTTAATAGTATACCTAAATTAGCAAAATTACTATTTTAACATAATAACAAATTGACATACGATATTGAAATACGAATCGCCGATATTTTTAGTTCGTGCGGTTGGTCGCGAATTAATTTTAAAAAGCTTTCCGACGGGATTTAAAAGTGTGCGCACGAAGTAAGAAATGAAGTTTACAACACGACTTTAATCCCCTTCATTCGTTGTTTCATAATACGAGATTAATGCTTTTTCCTCACTTTTTCCTCGACGTTACATTTGATTTCTCACATTTTATCGTATTTATACATTACTTCTGTGCTCCTATTTATACATATGATACGATGACAAGTGATTTTGTATTGACGCGTAATAATATTTTTCATCTTGTGCTCATGAGTTCCCAAAATTCCATTCACAAATTTCATTCACAAATTCATCCGTCATATTAAAATTGGATAGAGGAAGGATTGCTCGTTGTCGAAAACAGCATTTCACGAATGTATTGCATCAATCACTTTATATGGGAGACAGACGAAGAGAAAGAAAATACGCGCGCGTAAGAGAGAGATATGTATTGTAATGTAATTATATATTTATCTATTGTACATTTGCACAAAGCCACGGAGATATTTAACTTTTGACACATATATTTATTGTTACAGATAACGATTGCATAATATCGTAATGTGTAGAAAAACAGAACTTTAAAAAAATAACAATATCGAAAATAACAATAAGAATAATTATGACAGTTTCTGATGATTTAAAATACAATCATACAGATTTTGAATTATTTCTTAGCGAGATATGTCTCATCAAATTAATGTCGAATCGACATCGATATGAAAATTTTGATATCAATTAAAGTCTATGTCATTTCTCTCTAGATCAATAACTTGCTATTTTGTAGTGAAAAAAAATTGAAAATTTCAATTGTCTATATTTTGGTTTATTATTTATCGTCTATTTTTTCACGGATAGTACTTTATGAATAAAGTCCGATTCAATTGCGAGTGAGATGCATTTGCGATATGATATATGATGCCATAGCGATGAGGTTATTATACTGGGCGACAGCAGTAGCTCTCGACTACCAAATCAGCATATGCTAATAACGTTCGATACTCGTTTCGGGCAGGTTACAAACGCACCAGTGGAGCGAGAACACGATCAAAACCGTGGTCAGGCATCACTGGGAAGTGTATGGCGGTTACGTGGAGAGGACCATGCGAATGATAGTCACGCCTCGGGTCCGCGCCGAGGTTCAAGCGCACTTCAATTGCTCGGAACTCGAGGGCGCAGAATTGGAAGACCAGGGTGAGGATGGCACAGCTCTAACACATTGGGAGAAACGTGTATTCGAGGTACGTAATGTTGAATCCTCTTTACCGCAAGTGTAACATAATGATAACATAATGGTATCAACAGTTTCAAGCTTCCGCATTTATTATAAAATGAAATAAAGACATTAATTATTTTAATTTTTAAGTACATATTAGCAAATTATTATTATCCTAATTCTATGGACACATAAGGTATGATACATTTACTGTCTGTAGAATTACATGTCATCGTGTTTAAATTTTTCAATAAAAAAATGTGAACAATGTTTGCTATCATAAATTGGTTTTTTGTTTATTCAGAATGAAGCCATGACAGGGACACACACGCAAAATCCAGTTTACTCGAGAATAACGCTCGCTCTTATGGAAGATACCGGTTGGTATAGCGCCAACTATTCGATGGCGCAAGAGCTAGGCTGGGGGAAAAATCTGGGATGCAATTTCGCTATGAAATCCTGCAAGGAATGGATATCTACACATCAGCCGTTACCGTGAGTACATTGAGATTCAGCAAAAATGAACCATACGTCACTATTCTATGAAAATATTAAAATAATTTCAGAGGAAAATCGATACATCCTTTTTGCAACAAAGTGAAACAGGATCCGTTGCAGACCGAATGCACGGACGATCGGAGATCAGTGGCCTTGTGTAATCTGGTGAAATATTTGCAGCCACTACCCAAGAAATACCAAGTAAGAAATATTTAGTAATAATCTATTGAAATATTTTGAAGCAGACGTACAAATAGAATGTTCCCACCGACGATGTTACATCAGAAGACAACATGAGAATATTCGCGGTATGTGAAGAATTTCCGTTAACGATTTCTTCCATTGCAGAACTTCGATTCAATTCCCCACGTACCATCGGGAGAGGAACAATACTACGGCGGTTCGGTATCTCTGGCGGATTACTGTCCTTACATACAGGAATTCACGTGGAGAGCGCGGAATATAGTAGTCAGAGGTTCTCATTGTCTTTACGAAGAGAATAATCCGCGTAAGTTACGCGACACATATATCACGTGCGTATTCCGAAGAAATAACGGAATTCGTTTGAAACACATTTTTCTTTTAGACCCAGACAAGAATTTCGCATTAGAAAAATATGGTCCTAATTCGAGATGTTTTGACCATACTAATGACATGTGGGAAGAGAGAACTTGCAAACAAGCACGTCAGTGGCAGCATTGGGGCTCCGGTTGCTATTTATATAAATGCGAAGCTGGGAGACTACACATTATGGTGAACACTTTTTTACAATGCAATAGATAATTTATAAGAATCCTTAAAATGCAATTATATACGGATAAGTTAAGAGACAATTATCTCTTTTCTCAGGTCGGCAATTATACGTATGCTTGTTATCATGCTGGACAAGAGATTATTATAAGAATTATGCAGAATGGCTGGTTGCATAAAGGTGCTCTAATTTGTCCACCCTGCCGAGATATTTGTGAGGTATGAATATATACATATATATATATATATACCATATATACGTGTTATATAATACATATGGGTTATAATATGTAATATATAATAGATATATAATTAAATGTAATTTAGTAATCGAATTTGCTTTATTCTTTTATTTTTAGGCGGAATTTAAAACACAAAAGGAGTGGTGTAAATCTGTAGGAAATGAACGTCCACCTTCATATTATCACAAAGACTATCTTCACTGTGCATCCGCAGATAGTTTTAGTTTAAGTATATCAACGTTTATTATTGCAATGTTATCCTTCGTCGCTAGATGATACACTGTCTTTGTTAGTTAATGTTTTAACATTATCTAAATCTAAATTCATAAATATCATTTACTCATTTGTATATTATGTTTTGACAATGTAATCTAATTTTTATTAGTAAAAAACATAATTAATATTGGCCGAGATGACAATCGTAAATAGGCTTGTTATCTATATGATAAGATATTGGCCAAATGATTTAAAATAACAGAGGAATTAACTAAATCAACTGATTTTAAGATATTTCTCCGGCTATAATCGCGCTAGAAAATTAATCACACACACACACACACACACACACACACACACACACACACACACACACATAAATGTCATATCTGTGTATACAAGCACTAGTCCGCACTGAAGACAATTGAAATGTGGTAATAGCATGTCTCGCCGCTCGGCGTGCGAGAAGGAGAATTTCATCAAATTACAAATTTAAACTATTCTAATTCAGAAACGGCACCGCTAGGTCCTCTATTTATTTATTTTTTTTTTTTTTTTTTATATAAGGTTCCTATAATATTTCTACATTATATATTTATTTAAAAAAAAAATCTGTAGAAGATTTTCGTCGCAAAGTATTGTATTAAAACGTTACTTTCGCAAGATTTGGTATTAGAGTTTATGTATTAAAAGCTGAAAGTTGAAGGTGAATATCTTCATTTCAGGGTCTTTGAAATTTTAATCACATATAAATAAAATTATTTTAAATATAATATTCAAATTTCAAAAAAATTTGTAGAAATTCAATTTCTCGGAGAAATACCTTAATATGTTAAATTTGCGCGATAAATATATGTATCTTATTTGGATTCTGGTGATAACGTGACGAGGCATTTTATATGCCAATTTTATATTATATGTGCTTCTAAGTTACATATCCATTTGTTAAGTTTATTGTGTGTACGCGCGTGCGTGTGTACGTGTGTTTCACTTTAATTAACATTTTGAGGTCTGCAGTCTGTATTAAACTGTAGCAACATCTGACAAAAGCAAATTATGATAACATAAACTGAGTCTCACATTTTTGAGCCACAAAAACAAATATATACAATTTAATATAATTTATTAAAAGTTCCATCACAAACAGATTGCTCTTTCCGTTTTTGTGATAAGATAAAACCAGTAAAAGCAGATTGATCAAATTAAAAAAAGGAGACTTTTGCCGAAATACTGAAGCAGAGCAGCAAAAGTATTTTGTTTTTAATGTAAAATTTACATTTTTTTAATTCATAAATACAATGAGTTTTAATATACTACTGGTAAGATATTCTTACACGACGACACTGTGCCGTCAGTAGATTATAATATCCACGTACAGTATCGCGGCGGACCACAAACTGTTAATTCTGACATATATATTTTAGTCATCACCTTATGTGCGAATGTTGTTTCAAAGTAAATAATCTCGGTCATCGCTCAATTCAAGACGATGAATAATTGTACTATAGTTTGTAGTTGATAGATAATTGCTAATATTATCTGACGAATGTGTGTACACACGGACTCCATGCATCCACTGCCGATATAAAAATAATACAAAATTTTTTTTATAAATGACGTAAATTAGATGTAGAAATTAATAAGTCTAATAAAGAAACGCTATACATTACTGAAAAATAACAATGTAATCATATATTTTGCACAATATGATGACGCAAGTAATAGTTCTTAGAAGTAGAAATATGTATTGTATGTATCTCTCAAATAAGTATGCTATATTTACATTTCATACTATTTACGATACATTACAGATTAGTTTTGTCAATAATGTATAGCGAACTTTTTTAGACATTGCAAATAATAAGCTTTGATATCAATATTCATTAAAAAGATACTTTATACATCTTTAAAATGTAAAGATTGACTTTACATTAAGGGGTATAGTGAGCTCAATCTTTTTTACTTTGAACATTGACAGCATCAATAATAAATCCGTAATTTTACTTACAACATGTGTACGAAAGTTCGTGTGAACATACGCACGCAAGTCATATCGAACAATATACGAATAAATGTGAAAATTAAAGTGATTTAAAAGTATGACAAACCAATTTATCAAGGTTGTCAATTGCGAATCTATCGTGAATGTATAAAAAGTAAGTTTTTGTACATATAGCTCCAAAAATGCGAAGTCTAATAATTGGATAGATTTACGATGCATAATATCTAAATCCTAACAATTAGCATAATATATTTAATTTGATAAGTATATTAATATGAACGGAACATTTTTTTAATTTCTCATCATTGATAAATGATATGTTCAATTTTCGTAAAAAATTATTTTCACTACAATTTTAAATTGTATGCAATTTCCTAGACAGCATGTTCAAAATCAGAATAAAACGTTTTAAAGATGTTTTAAAGATATTTTATGTCCCGATTTTAAACATAAGATGATTTTTGCATGCTGTCTAGATTGTAATAGATTTATAACATATTTTATCTACCTATATGATAAAAACTTATTATTCACGACTTTTTAGGTGCTTTACTGTGAATATAGATATATCAGCACAATGATTTGTGCAGAATTATTCACAAATAAAATATCTAATAATTTTAGTTTACTGAAAAAAAAAAAAAGATAAACGATAAGCACATAGACTGTATATACTAAAGTCTGTATAGTAATCATCTAGCATATGACTAATCCGTTCTTCATCAATGAAGTCTTGAGCGTTCTTTTAATTATGAAAATATCGATTGTAGCACAGCATCTTTAAAACATTCCAAAGGAGTTATTGATTGATATGAAGAATAAATATGTTGATTTTTTTTCTTACAATACATTCCATATATTCCAATGTCGTATATTCGCAAGATTGTAACATGAAAGCATTTATTTAATTTTGTACAGAGATGATTAATAATTCACATATACTTCGTATAAAAACTTGAATATCTCAGTATCACATAAAATATACTGAGATGTATATTCGAGAACATTTCTCGCGAATTCCTGCTAATGTCGTTGCTCGACATAAGAATGGATTTTATGCATCATTCCATCAACAAACGGCATCTAGTAAATGTTAATATTGAACAACAAGTGAATATAGAAGAAGACAAGAATGTTTTAACAATTCTATAAGTCCAATTATAAAAATATCGTA